GAAGCAATTTCTACCTTATAAGAAGGTTCTAACTTGTCCTTGTACTTTGTGTTGAAAAGTTCATCACCTATTTGCAAGGTGCTTTGAACCACGTAGTCGGTCTCAAACTGCAAAGATGCATAGTAACAAAAGGTTATCCTAAGAAATAAATGTAGAGAAACCTTAACAAATGAAGTGACAAATACCTGCAGAACAATATGAGGGTACAAAGTTTGCCCTTTGCGGATTGGTGGATCTAGAGTCACAACGACAAAAGTATGTGGCTGATTGGACTGCATAAAAACAGAACAGGCATGCAAGACTTCATATCTTATCGAGTAGTCTTGGTAGTGTAACATCTAAGGTTAATAGAAGGAAGGAAAAACCTTTGGAAGTAAAAAAAGGCGAACAACGCTGCTGTATTGTATTTTGAAATCATTGGCCTGTCCTTGAAGCCGCAGGAATGAAAGGTGGAGTTCAACACTGTACCGACCCCTATATGACAAAAATAATCTCTTTAGAATACCTTCAGACAAAATAAAAACTTAAAAGCCAGAAGTGAAAAAATCAGTAACTACTAGGTACACAGTAAGAAGGAACTATGCAAAGTAATCGAATAGATACATGTGCATGTTATGATACTTCTACGCATGTGCAGGCACATAACAAACAGCATGCAAACTAAATTTTCAATTGCATAGATGTCTACCTTGGAGTGAGGATAGCAATACCCTCAAATGTGACCACAGCTTCCTCAATTCCAGCACTAACATCCGCCATGGACATGATTTTGTCACGAAAAACCTAAAAAAACTACATTTTATGAACAGTCACAAAAAATACACATTGTATCCTAAAACAGATCAATGATCCTACCTGAGCAGGAGGACGATTTTCATCACCAACAAATTGAGTATTCGAATTTGGTATGTGAAAACTTATCTCCATTAGAGAATCTTTCTGTGACCATACTGATAAAAGTATTAGATTACAATAAAGCAACTTCAAACAAAAGCTTTGTAGTTTGAGATTTTATATCACTCATCAATTGGATAGGAACAAACACTAAAGTATTATAAAAGAATGAAAAAATATAATCACTGACCTCATTAGCTCCTGTGGTATCGTCCACATGGAACTCTAACATAACATCATTCTTTCCTTGAAGTTGTGTTTGAGCAACATCAGCTAAAGACACTTCAAATGCTTGCTTTGAACCAACCATGAAAGTAAGCATATTCCCTACACCAAAAATTTTAAAGTAATGAAAAGAAGATACATTTTCTATACATGTGAATTCTATAGAAATCTGAAAAGGACTAAACGTCTGAATTCTGATCCTAGATAGAGAAAGTACAAAGACAAAGCAGAGGGAGAGAGGGTGGGGAGATTTAACGAACAAAGTGCTCGGAGAACTTATAAAATAATTTTAAGGAAAAAAAAAAAGTGATTGCATATGCTAGTGCATCATTTAAGAAAATAGTCTAACCTCCAAAAATGATTTTGCATAAAGAGATGGCTACCAAATTTGATTCACATAACAATCCAGGCTAGAACTTAAAAGTGAGAAAAAAAAATCATGGAAATGTAAGCTAGAGCTAATGACCAATATGGTATAATTCCCAACCAAGATCAGCAATTTCTTAAAATCCACTTAATCTCTTCTTATAGCTCTACAGTTGCAATCTTGCACATGCAAGTAAGAATTCTTTCAATATAAAATTGATGAACCAAAAACTACTGCCATAACAATTGATAGAATAGAATGAATGTATCAGAACAACTTACCATTCAAATCAACTTCACCCCAATTACGGCCGCTGACAGAAAGCTGCTTTTCCTCAGGTACTATTCCACAATTACATTGGAAAAATTTGGTTAAACTAGTGATGTCCTACACGAACAGAAAAGGTCATACAATCAGAACATTTCAACTGCATAATGAGAAATACAAAAGTTCTTGAAATATTAATTTGTAATCATATCATTGAGCTACTACTGCTGATCAGATGAAATGGACCAATCTAAAAAGCTATTAATAACTAAAGGAAATGATTTAGTGAGTTACAACTCGTAAATGAGATATTAACACCTAGAGATTCATAGCCAAATCCCAAAGTAAAAGCAACATCATTCTAAACAATTATGAAACCTGGTCACGGAATCCAATGAACTTGTAATACAATCCATCTTTGACCCGAATTCCTAGCTGGTTTGTCCTTGGAACCTTCATCCATGTTACACCGACAATGTCTGCTTTATCCACCTCAATTGCCTTGCCACCTCCTTGCTTCTTCCACTGAATACCTCTTTGATCTATTTTCAGCTGACCTGGGTTCTGCATTAGAACATATACACGTAGTGAAGTAAGATTCCATGTATCGAAGCTCACAAATAAAGTCCAGAAAATTGTAACTATTTAAGATCATTTCCTTTCCTTTTTCACATCCAGCATCCCCCAATACAAATTACTTCACCATATGCAACAAGTTAGATGTCAAGGATGAAAAATTACAAAAATATAACCCTTCACCCACATGCTCCAACAGATGGCACTCGGGAAAAATAAAAACCAATCAAATTTGTGAAATCTGGAAATTCTAAGAACATTTGCAATAAATAGCCAGTATTCCATTCCCCTAACAAATGTGCAAAGAGTAATTACGCTTTAAGCTGAACACCACCTCACCCCTAGGATAAGCGAAGAAGGGAGGAGGGCCAATTGGCCCCTTAGTTCCTCTTAGACTAAAAAACCATATACAAACATGACAATTTTAACATTCTCTCTAATTTGTGTAAAAGAACAAGACTCCATTCAACTAATGACAGCAGAAAATCAAGACCATCAGTCAACTCGTGACATTAGAAAATCAAGACCATCACTCAACTCATGACAGCAGAAAATTATTTTGATAAATATGACAGCAAACTTTCCAAACTAATCTTCCACTTTTTCTCAAAACAGCAGCATCCCTCCTTGATTTTTTTCAGCAAATAAATGGGAACAAAACCAACAATCAATCACCAAATCCCAAATAATTAGTGAATGATTGCACCTAAGTTAATTATCTTTAATTCCCTACTTTGGCAAATATCACCGTTGCCTTGCTTAGGAAATACAGCAGTTTTTTTTCTTTGTAAATATGAGCCAATTTATGGCTGATTATTGGGCTGCATACTTTCCAGATGAATTGTACAAACTTTTGTATAATGCATTGTTGAAAGTTCATGATTCTGGAATGTGAAATTGTTGAGATTATACAAAAGTTTTCAATTTGTCCCTTAAATTTTCAAGACGAAAGATTATATACATGGGGAAAAAAGAAAGTTAGAACGTAGAAGGTAAAACTAAGCCCCTCATGTAAAAATTTCTCCCTCTGCCCTTGCCCCTGCAGGACACTAGGAGATATGTAAACAAAATCCACCCTTCGTTTTCGTTTTGCAGTACAAAACCACTAAGTAAATGCATATGGAATTTATAAACAATTTGAAATTTAGGGTTTGAAAAGCACGACAGCATTCCCATGCCCATACTAAATACAAGATTGATGACCCAATGATCCTAGTCCACCAAGAAACCTAGTTAAGTTAACAGCCGCACAAACAGAGGATGAGTGAGAGGGAGAGAGAGAGAGAGAGAGAGAGAGAGCTCACAGTGCCTCCACGGCCGCCGAGAGAGATGTTATTGTAGAGCTGACCGTCAGCCATGGCTGGAAACCTGAGAGGGACCAGAAGAAAGCGAATCGAAGAAACAAAATGGAGCTTCAGAAATGGGAAAATCTAACGGAGCTATAAAAGGAGTGTGCGGAACCGACCCGCCCCGAACCGATTCGATCAGTTTTAACCGAACAAAACCCTCAGTTTTGTTTGCCTATCTCGCCGTTTCTACCGGAGAAGACGGGTTGTTGTCGACGCGACTGGTGGTGTCGGTGGCGGCGGCGGTGCGGGGGCCGATGTGGTTCTTGGCCGGAGAAGACGTCGAAGAAGCAGTAGAGAGAAAGTGGAATTGCGGAATGCGCCATGGCCCGATGTTTAAAATTTCTGCTTAATAATTATTTGGAACAGTTGCAAATACGGCGATACAAATTAAAATTAACAAAATTACATGACTACTCATATATGATACACTTCTAATATATATTTGATACATTTTTTATAACTACAAATATAAGTATACGTACAATATTTATGTGATATATATTAATTTTAAAAGTGGATATTTTGATCCGAAAAAATAGAAGGTTTTTTTTTTCATTTAATGTTTTAAAAATAATCTAATAAATTAATGCTAAAGAGAGAGAAATTTGGTAGGAAGGTGATACCTCATTCTATAAGTAAGAAAAAAAATTTAAAAATTTAAAATAGAAGACTAATGTTTGATGTAAACATGGGAGTCAAAAACATCAAAGTTATATTATAAAACTTTACTTTTTTTTTTAAATATCCGTAAGGGTCTGGATCAGCTTACGCGTACCTCAACTAATATCACGGGATAACCATTTTGACCTTACAATATTTGGGGAAAACACATAGGAATTACTAATTATAAGGTAGGTGGCCATCGTAAGGTTTCTAAAACTTTATACAAAAATTAGTCTATTAAGATTTCTTAGATTTCTTAGTGTGCATTAATTTGAAAGGAAAGCTGAGCAAATAATTAGTAAATTGGGTAAAGCAAAAGGAAAGGATAAAACACAACCACCTCAATAAGGAAATTTTGACAAAATCTATTGACCGTAACTAAATATCTGATTTAGTCTCGTACTAACTTACAATTGAAGGAGCCATTAAAAACGTAATTTTTTGTCGTTTATTGTTATTGACAAATTTTTGATATTCATCTTTTCATATTCTAACACAACATATTTTTATCGTTCGTCAACTTTATGATTCGTGGATGTATTTAAATAGTTTCAATCTATCTTATACTATTATTTTTATAAATTATTTAATTATTAAAATTCTAAAACTAAATGAGTGTGGGATGGAAGGGGGACATACTTAAGAGATATGGAGGGGGAAATAGATATAGAGAAAGATAACTGAGGTATTATTAAAAAAGTCAAGGTTAATATCGTCCAAAAAAATGTTTTTTCCACGTTCGTACTTTTATAGCTATTATAAATTATAGATATAGATAGATAAAGACCAAATTGAAAAAATAACATAAATACCAGAGATGAAAACTTACATTTAGTCGAGTATCTATATACTAACAACAGAAACGCTTATTATAAAAACAATCGAAAACAAACCATGCAGAATTCACATTAATGGTCAATTCGCAAATATAATAAATATTATGTCTAGAGATGGCTATGCAATTTGTAACACACAAATATGTTGGAATGTGACATGACTATGTTGCATAAAACATCACAATGTATGAAAGATGGGAGCTGTTGTCTTAATTAAAGACATTGATAGACAAACTAGGTCTTGACAATTGACATCTTAACAAATCATCCTTTCTTTTCTACACATCTTACCCTTCAATCTTGGATTTTTCTTTCCAATATGATGTTGTAAAATTTTCAATATTTCGAATTCTATAGATCTTCTTTTATCAACCGATTCTTGTTCACAACTTTATGTTAAATATTTATGGACGTGTCGATATTTTCATGTGTTCATGTAGGTCTGACATCAATATGAAGGATAAATTGACATTTATACGGTGTTGCAATAAAATCGATAAAATATAAAAAAAATATCAACAAAGTAGCATTAATATAGACATAATATTAATATTAATCATTTTTAACTTATTTAAAAATGGTAAAGTGCTTATTTATTAATTTAAATATTTTTTTATGAATTTTTTTAATAATCTTTCTATAAATATTCATCGACATCAACATTCGACATTTCCATAAAATTTAGACCTCGACATTTCTATCGACATCAACATTTAAAACTTTGGTTAAAATACTTGTTCACACGAGATTTCCGAAGAAATTATCTTTCGTGGAGTTGAACTTTTATATTTGAAGTATGTGTTGTATAGTGGATTTAATCTCTAATCTTTTATTCTCTGATTCTTTCTCTCAAACTTGATGTGAAGATTGAGATGCTTGTTTTTGAATTTGGATCGAAGTTATTTTTGAATTTGGATCGAAGTTATATGTTATTCGAAAGTTTTCAAGTCTTCAAGTATTCAAAGTCTTCAAGTTGGTCTTCGAATCTTCAGAGAGTCTTCAATTTGGTTTGAATTCTCTCAATTCTGAAAAATTTGAACCTCTAAAATGAATGAGGTCCCCTCTATTTATAGAGATTTCCATAGGCTTTGGTGGGCCATTGAGCTTGGGTAATTTTGGGTCAAGCCCAATTCTTTAAATGAATTTATTTAAATTTAAATATTAATCCACTTTATTACATGGTAAATTGGGTTTTGGGCGAAGTTTGTGAACCAAATCGATTCCAAGCCCAATACTTGAAGGGATGTGAATCCCGGAGCGGAAACGGATTTTCGTTGCTGATTTTCGGGATACAAAACCAAATTTTACAGAAGAAAAATACAGAGAAAACTTTACCTTTGAAGAACGTTTCTTCAACTAGTTTTCCTCGAACACCACCACTATTTCTTCCTCGCTATCCTCTTGGGTCTCGGGATCGTGCTGGTGGGAGCAAAAATTTGGAACGAGATGGAGAGATTGAGCTTCTTGAGAGAAATCTAGGGATGCTTATTTTTTCACTTTCTTTGTTCTGTTTTCTTCAACCATTGAAGAAGAAGAACAATGGCGTGGGATAACTCCCCAGGTCATAGCAACCCCCACCCCCCTGCAATTTTGCAGGGGAGTTAATATTAATAATAATATTAATATTAATATTAATATTAATATATATATAATAATATATATAATAATTAATATATTTATAAAATTAATTAATCAAATTAATTAATATAATTAATTATTAATCCAATTAATAATTAATAAATATATATATATATAAATAATTAACAGTTAATTATTTATTATAAAATTAGAATCATATTCTAAAACATTACTCTCGTATAAGCTATAGTTTTAATGTACATCTTATGCACATTATTTTTAACCTATAGTTTTAATATGAATCTTATTCATATCAATTTTTTTGAATCTCATTCAAATAATATCTCTCATAATATATAGTTTTAATTCACAATTAACTATATATTATAATGTATCAATATACATATAATCCCTTAAGTTATTTGAATAATTCAAATTCTTCAAAAAAACGTGATCCTCGTTTTACCCGTTATGAGCTAGCAAGGGGACCTAATGGACCTACAGATCCGAAGCTCCAACGATGCAAGATTAATCGGTCAAACTCATTGACCGAGTTAATCTAGATTCGTTAACTACGGGTCATTCCACTAAACACCCGCAGTTGCACTCTTCTCACTGCAGAATGTTTTCGTGTCCATGGATATATGACAATTAATGACGAGTCAATCCTTCACGAGTGTTCGTAACTCAAGTTGGGTCAAATTACCGTTTTACCTCTGAGTTAGATCTTACTCCTTAAACACCACTGCTCCTCTAATGAACAACCCGGTTATGGTTCAACCAATAACCGGAAGTCCCTCTCGGCCAATGAGAGGGTGGG